TGGACCTCTTTGAATTCTAATTGAATACCCCTGATGTAGTGCATCGTGTAGTCTATCCATCTGTCTCTTTCTCTAACTGTGTCTTTCTTTCTGGAGGAATTTCTGTAAATGTGTGGGCTCAGGCCTTTTTCCAACAAACTCCTCAGTCTGCCCTCATTCGTCTTTCATTTTGTTTTATATTATTTGCTCTTTTACTCTTGAGTCCTCGTCTAGTTCTTCAGATCACTCTGTAGAACTTTTTTGACTTTAATTGTTATATATTTTCGGTTAGACTACTTTTTTGTAAATTTTTGGTTAAATGACTGACCAGACTATAGACATTGAAGGTTCTGGTTGAAAGCCAGCAGTGTTTTGACTGTCAATTTACAGCTTGAGTGCCTTCAAGGTTAGACACTCTCCATGCTGTGAGAGTGGGAGTTTTATGGTTACACCTGGCTGATGGAGGCGCCTATTCAGGAGGCCGGGAAGAGGCCATAATGAGCACAGCATCACAGAAATGCCATTGCGCTCTTTCATTTACTGTTTTTTCTCCCTCTGTCAGAGCTACCTAAATGAATAATTTATATTTATTTATTTATATATATGTATATATAATTCATTTAGGTTTCTCTGAAAGGTGTGTGTATATATATATACACCGGTATACACTTTTTCATTTTCCCCCCTGGCCTTACAGGATGCGATGTTCCCATAATGAGTCATTTATTTTTGAAGTGGATGAGCATAATTGGCTTAAGCACAGGTGCAACCTCTAATTGAGATGATGTCGGCCAGCACTATTTGCCAGAATTCATTTTCAGTTGTTGGTATGTTCTCACAGGTTAGAAATTGTCTCGGGACACAGAAAAAAGGATAAACAATTAAAAATTAGAGCAAAAGTCAAAATAATCTCCAGAAAAGCAGTGAGTAAACGCTTTTTCTAAGTAGAAACATTTACTAATGCAACCTGAGGTCACCAAATCATCTTAGTGAGCTAGTTTGTTTGGGCACCAACACAGTAACCATAAAAGTGATGAATGGAAACATGAAAAGAAACGTTATACAACCTCCAAAACAGCAGCTTATGGAGACCTTCAAGTTCAGCTTGTTATTGTCACGATCGTGGTGTGGAGGCAGGTTGGAGAACCCAAACGCAGGACACAGAGCGGAGCAGGTATGGTATAACGAAGGGTTTTAATAAACAAACAAAAGCGAGCACACTTACAGGTGAGTGGCTGAATAACAGAAATCCAAAATCCAAAAGTTCCGGGAGACGAGACAAGACGAGACAAGCAAGGCTGGTTACAGGCAGAGAGTACACACACGACAGACTGGGGGGTAACATGAACAATGACCGGACAAGGACAAGACAGAAACACCAGGTATATATACACAGGGACTAACGAGCAGGGCGGGAGCAACACAGGTGACAGACATAAGACTAACGAGGCAGAGAGAGAGAGCAGAGGAAAACAGAGAGACTAGACATGACAAGCAGACTATATAACAGATACTGGACACAAGACAGGACAGAACCCAAAACCCAACTCAAAAGTAAACACAAAGGATGGCCAACCGGCAGAGCGTGACAGTACCCCCCCACCGACGAGCGTCTCCAGACGGTCAACAAAACAGCCCAAAACAAGGCACAAGCCGGCCCAGGGTGGGCGGAGGGAGGACAGGAGGAGGGCAAGTCGAGCCAGGGTGGGTGGAGGGAGGACAGGAGGAGGGCCAGACCAGGAACTCTCAGGAGGGTGGCCAGAGGGCAAGGCAAGGGAGCGACAGAGTTCAGGAGGTCGCACAAGCAGGCCAAGGGGACAAAACAGTCCGGGGGAACCACCCAACAGGCAGATCATGCCCAGGAAACAGGGCAGGTAAGGCACTTGGCCTAACATGCAGGGCAGGGCAGAGAGACAGAACAGTTCAGGAGGCCGTCCCGGAGGGCGACTCAGGAGGCCGTGCAGACCAAAGGGATCACGGAGTTCAGGAGGCCGTCCCGGGGGATGACCCGACAGGCCGGGCAAATCAGGGGGTAAACACAGTTCAGGAGGCCGTGCCGGAGGTCGACTCAACAGGCCGGGCAGAACAGGGGGGCCACAGAGTTCAAGGGGTTGGCAGGACGGCCAACAGTGAGGCAGCAACCCCACTGGGGGCCGAGCAGGAGGCTGACGGCAAGACCTCTCCGGAGGTCGGCACCCAAAGCTTGGGTGCTCTGGAGGCACAGCTGGGCTGAGGACCACCGGCGAGACAGCTGGGCTGAGGACCATGGACCGGACACGAGGAGCTGGAGTCGGTCTGAACACCGACTGAGCAGCTGGGCTGGGGACCATGGACCGGACACGAGGAGCTGGAGTCGGTCTGAACACCGACTGAGCAGCTGGGCTGAGGACCATGGACCGGACACGAGGAGCTGGAGTCGGCCTGACCACCGACTGGACAGCTGGGCTGGGGACCATGGACCGGACACGAGGAGCTGGAGTCGGCCTGACCACCGACTGGACAGCTGGGCTGGGGACCATGGACCGGACACGAGGAGCAGGGATCGGCCTGACCACCGACTGGACAGCTGGGCTGGGGACCATGGACCGGACACGAGGAGCAGGGGTCGGCCTGACCACCGGCGGGGCTGAAGCCGGTCCATCCGCCAACAGGACACGAGGAGCAGGGGTCGGCCGGACCACCGGCGGGGCTGAAGCCGGTCCATCCGCCAACAGGACACGAGGAACAGGCTGGGCCACCAACGGAGCTGGTGTTGGTCGGACCACCGACGGGAGAACAGGAGTCGGCTGGGCCACCAACGGAGCTGGTGTTGGTCGGACCACCGACGAGGGACCAGGAGTCGGCTGGGCCACCGGCGAAGCAGGTGCCGGTCGGACCACCGACGGAGCATGAGGAACAGGAGTCGGCTGGGCCACTGGCGAAGCCGGTGCCGGTCGGTTCACCGATGGAGCACTGGGAACAGGAATCGGCTGGGCCACCAACGAAGCTGGTGTTGGTCGGACCACCGACGAGGGAACAGGAGTCAGCTGGGCCACCGGCGAAGCAGGTGCCGGTCGGACCACCGAGTGAGACCTGGGAGCAGGAGTAGGCCAGGGAACAGGCAGGCGGCTAGCTGCGCTAGCAGGCCGGGGATCAGGCAGGTGGGCAGGCAGGCTGCTAGCGGGCCGGGAATCAGGCAGGCGGCTAGCCGTTCTAGCAAGCCAGGGGACAGGTTTGTTGCCGACGGGTCGCTGATGGTGACCTCGTCGCCTCCGATGACCACCACGGGAACCCGAAAAGATGGCCAGGCGACTCCCCTCAAAGGACGACTCCGGGGAAAGCCTAGCCTCCAGGCTATCAGGCCATAGGCTAGCTGCCCGTGCTGCCTCTGACTCCCTGGCCTTCATGGTCAGGTAGGCCAGGAGAGTCATAGTCCCTGAGTCCTTGGTAGGTAGGGCAGGCAGGCGGACGGACAGGCTAGGCGGAGGACTAGCGGCGCTAGCCAAGCAGGATACAGACAGGACAGGCGGAGGGCTAGCAGCGCCAGCCGAACAGGTAACGGGCAGGACAGGCGGAGGGCTAGCAGCGCCAGCCGAACAGGTAACAGGCAGGACAGGCGGAGGGCTAGCAGCGCCAGCCGAACAGGTAACAGGCAGGACAGGCGGAGGGCTAGCAGCGCCAGCCGAACAGGTAACAGGCAGGACAGGCGGAGGGCTAGCAGGCCGGAGAGATGACGGCCGGAGGCTAGCGGTCCGGGTGTTAGCCATTTCCAGGCTAACAGACTGAGGATCTGATGAGGACTTGGCTGGGGGATTGGCTGAGGTGTGGAGGAAGTCACAAACCCACCCAGGGAGAGAGTCTGCTGCTCCTGGCTGAGCAGCCAGGCTCTTCCAGGCAAGGGACACGATAGCTGCCTTATGGCTAACATGACTAGCCCCATACCACATATTCCTCAGCACCATAAGCTCCCGGCACAGATCAAGCAGTTCATCGGACATGGTGTCCGCTGGGTCCCTTTGTGGTCCGGTCATTCTGTCACGATCGTGGTGTGGAGGCAGGTTGGAGAACCCAAACGCAGGACACAGAGCGGAGCAGGTATGGTATAACGAAGGGTTTTAATAAACAAACAAAAGCGAGGATAAGCAAGCAAGGCTGGTTACAGGCAGAGAGTACACACACGACAGACTGGGGGGTAACATGAACAATGACCGGACAAGGACAAGACAGAAACACCAGGTATATATACACAGGGACTAACGAGCAGGGCGGGAGCAACACAGGTGACAGACATAAGACTAACGAGGCAGAGAGAGAGAGCAGAGGAAAACAGAGAGACTAGACATGACAAGCAGACAGATACTGGACACAAGACAGGACAGAACCCAAAACCCAACTCAAAAGTAAACACAAAGGATGGCCAACCGGCAGAGCGTGACAGTTATCACATGCTGCCACTTGAGGTCTTCAAATTGTACATTCACCTGTTACTTCTGAAACTTAATATTTTTTTAAAATTCATGTCCACGCATTTTTATTTTCAAAGAAGAAGAAACAGCCCATTAGGAGTTTCCAAATTGATTTCTTCAAATTGCTTGTTTTGTCCGATCGACAGTTCAAAACACAAAAATCTGACAATTTACAGTCACATAAAATAGACAACACCAGGCAGTCCCATATCAGAAGCTGCAATAAGTGAATATTTGGCACTTTTGCTTGGTTAATGTATTATGTACTATCAATAAATAATCAAAAAAGCTTTTTCTGCCAATCAACTTCAGTGCGAATTTTGTGTTTAAAGTTTTATTGGTAGCCACTTCCCACATAAGAGTGTTTACAAATGCTGTCCTTGACTTTAAAATGTAACCACAGTTATTAAAAATTCAAATAGAGCAGCTGCATATAGTGCAATTCCAGTGATTGTGTGTTTGCTGCTTATTTAAACACCAGAGAATAAGAGTGTTACAGTCGCAGACTCTCTTCTTTCTCATCCTTTTCTCAGCAGGTGAAAATAACGTGGCTGTTGTTTTTCTTGCCCTTTTAAGGTGGTATAACGGGAGGAAAAGGTGGACAAAGACTCGCGCCTCTCTACCTCACAGGTGCGTGTGAAAGTGCCTGATGTAATGTTTTTTTATTTTACCTCATTTTCTCTGAGAGGACTCATTTCCTGAACACAGTGGTGGTAGTCATTCCAATTAATTAGCCGGAGGAACGGTAAGAAAATCTGCATGTAATTAGCTGATTTAGCCTAATGTGCTAATCCCTATAACTCCACTTAAGGCAGTTGTTCTTTATCAGCATACTGCTGTGATAGCCTTGTCATAACAGAATGCATCATTACACTGAAGAAATCACCATTTCATAGCTGTCATTATATGACTTTGTGCTAAAATCACATTTCTATTTCTGAATTTACGGCATCTTAAATTTTTATTCTTTCAGCATTTATTCCCATTTAAAGATTTCTTTCCCCCAAGTATTTGCTGATGTTTGAGATATAGATTGCTTTACTCAAAACGGAAACTAATCACTTCTTTACTTTTTAACTACACACTAAATTTAAAAGTCAAACTGATCCTTATGTGCCATCGGTGTCTTTTTTTCCCCCCAGACATTATCTGACAGGTAATCAGTATGCCCTATGTTACAGATGAACTGCCATTTGAAAAGTGATCAGTAGGCCTATGTTCTTGAATGTGAGCAGGTTCTTTGAAGTGTTTTTGTATCAGGTGCTTCGACAGCTGGTTGTGACCTGGACATAACTTTAATTTAATCGTATTATTTTATTAGCATTCTTAATTACACATGACGTAAATTTGAAATAATTCCTCTTATCAAGTTACCCAGCGCCCTTTGACAGTTTGTAATTTATGTTCTTTCCTCTTGCAAACAATGCAGTATGACACGAGCAATAGTGCAGAGGCAGCTGCGTGCAGAGCTGAAGAGCCGGAGAGCAGAGACAAAATAATTCTCCTACACAGAGATATTAACACAAGTTTTAATTCACTGTGTCGTTCTGTTAAAATGTCATGTGCAACATCTCACAGTAATATAATTGCTGAGAATTGTCTGTTTGACCAGTGACCAATGACCGGTTGTTTGTGTCAGGCAAGAACTGATCATCCATCCACTCCCCTGCCAGCTCGAGCAGTGGAGGCCAGATGATTAGGAATGATGGTGAGCGTAAATGCGCATTCAGTTGAGCTTCCTTGTATTTATTGCAGAGCATCAAAACTGAGGTTCCACCCAGCAGTGAAAACCTGACCGCCCCTCCCGACCGCACACTTCCATGAAGCGTTTCTCCGCTGTGTCAAAAAACACTCCCTCCGTCTGTCGTAGATATTGATCATTACACGCTATGACAGATTCGTTTTGAATGTGCCTTCACATCTCATGGAGTGGTGATTCATTTTACATGGTATCTAAATAAACCCGAGTTTCAGTGTCAGACTTCTCTCCTTCTGTCCATACATGCGCTATATTTTTCTCTATCTCTCTCTCTCTCTCCCTCTCACCTCCTGTTGCTGTTTGTCATGACATGTTCATCATGACAGGTGTAAAGTGGCAAAAACACTGCGCTAACAAAGGAGGTTTTAAGTGTGATGTGGAGACGTGAAACCTCCAGTGCACGTACACTGAGAAAGGTCTGTGCTGTTTCTCGAGAAAGTGACAACTTACAATGTAACCACAGTAACGTCACGATTTGAAAGTTCAGCTTACATGTGTGCATACAGACTTTGCAGGAACTGCATAATTATGTTGGTATGTCTTATTTTACTCCTCAATTAAGGTTGTGTTGTGATGTAAAGTAATTTCTAGAATATGTTTTTTTAACATTCCCTATAGTTGTAACTCTCCAGCTGTGAAGATGGGATGCTTTGCTTTGTCATGCGTGATCTGAATATCTTTGGGTTTTGGACTGTTAAACAGAACAGTTAGATGACATCATCTTGGGCCCTACGAAACTGTGAAAGCCATTTTTCACTGTTTTAGACCTTTTATAGACCAAATGATATGTCGCTAATGAAAGTAACGGTTTATTGCAGCACTACCCTAAATGCATAAAATAGCTGAATGATTTTGGTCAAAGAGATTGGTGCAAAGAATGTAAATGTTAAATAAATGTATGAATCAACAGTCCATTTAGGCATAACCACAAACTGTTTATTAGTCAAATACCCTGCATAGAATATTTGCGTACTCTTACTGCTAGTGCTGCCACTCAGCATAGTTTATGCTGAAGCATGCGTGGAGCGTTATGGCAAATGATTTTGGTCTATTTCTTTAAATAACACATTGATTCTAGGTTCCTCCTTGCTTTTCTCACAGTGTGAACAGTTATTATAAGTGGAGATGGAGAGGTTTAGATTGCCCAAGATGCTGCTATCGAATGCACTCTGCACCTTCATGCATTATTCTTGACAAGTTAACTTACAGAGGGGCAAAGGTATTGTATCAATCCTGAAGGCAGGGGGTGTTTTTTTAAAAATGTTTTTATACCTCAGCAGCCTGGCCAGATTAATAGGCTCGAATTGGAAGAAGCAGAGCATAAAAAATGTAGTGTTGTTATTGATATCCAGTCAGATAAGCTGTGGTCAGTTGCATTCAGAAGTCTTTAGCGTGGAGCGGTGCTTAGTGGCCCACACCTTGTTTATCGGGGAGAAAAGTGTTATGTCCCCGAGCTTAGAGGCCTTATGAGGGAGACAGATGGAGGTTGAATGGCCCTGTTCCTCCCGTTCCCCTGTGGGGGAAGACTTTAAATGTATCTTGGTGAGATCTCTGGAGGCTGGATGCACTGTGTCCATTAGCAGGAACGTGGGCTGCTTTTGTGTTTCCAATTAAATGTCTAAAACAATGGATGATAGCTGTGGGCAATTGCGGCTGTGTGCAATACAAGTATATGCGTCGTGTGAGGTGTGTGTTATTACAGTAAGAAGCTCGGTAGTTGTTATTCATGATATTCAACTCCCTCATAAGCTGGATATTCAAGTTCAGCCAGGATTTCTGGATCCAAACAAGCGAATGTCCAATACATATTAGCCTTGTTGCTCGTAAAGTATTACCGTCAAGGGAGGAAAAGGAAGAAAATGTAGGAAAGAGAGAGACTCTGGCTCAGGACGACAGAAACTGCGGCACACTGTTAGATAGAGAGTGGAAATAAAAGGGAAAGAAGGGGTCAAGCTGAGGTATAGAGAGCAGGAGAAAGCCATGAGAGCAGTGTGAGTGTGAGCGTCGTGCCGAGCGAGAGGATGGTCTCCAGCAGCTCCATTGATTTTCCCTCAGTCTCCTCGACCGGCCTCCGACGCTCTCCTCTTCCCCCCGCAGTCACAGAGAGAATAGGCTTTTAACAAAGACCTCAGCAGACACCCGCCGACAATGGCCGCTCTCCAACCCCATCCCAGACCTCCGTCGTCGAGCTAAAGGCGCCCCCCACCCCACTTCCCCTCCGCTGACATTTGACTCAACGTGAATTACTGAGGTCACCTCTGTCCTTCCTTTCTTTCTACTTCCAGTGTGTTCCTTTTAGTTTTTTGTGCCCGTACGTTCCAGTGTGTTCCAGCCCGGGCCTATTAGGGTGCGGCTGAAATGACATGGCCAAAAATGTCAGCATTAAACTCAGTGACTTTTCAGCATGAACTTAAACTTTGCAGTAATGAAGAACCTGTAATTTAGAATAAAACTCTCCTCTGAAACCTCAGATTATTCCACCACTTTACTATTTAATTAGAACTACTACAGAGGAGCACACCTGTAATAAATGACATCCAAATCTAAGAAGACTGCTATACAAAACCATACATTATATATGATTTGGAGAGGAAATATTGTGGTAATTGTGTGCTCACTTGAGAACTGGCCTTTAGCTATTAAGCTAGACAGATTTGTGATCTTACGTACGTGTCCCAATGAGTCTTCGATATTCTCTGTTTTCCTGTTTTTTTCTAACCATTTGATAGACATAAATGTGGGGCTGTAACGAATATCTTTATTTTTATTTATTTTTTTTTGAATATTCAGGGATTTTATTCTACTGTGGTTTTTGAATGAAGCTTGTCATATTTTATGACATCATCGCGCTAAAACAGAAATCCTTGACAAAATCCTCAATTTGAATAAAATAATTCATCAGATTAGTTAGTCTTTAAAAGGCAGAATGAGTAGGATTTGTTGATTGCTGTTTGTTAAAACATGATTCACTGTTGGCCCCATGCAGAGAGAGGGGGAGAGAGAGAGAGCAGTGGTGGTTGAGCGAATTAGAGAGTGAATGAAGAGAGGGAGCGGCGTTAGCGAGACCAGAGCAGTCAATCGGAGGAATAAAACTATTTTCTGATTGTTTCACGGCTGTTACATTCCCTGCGGGAAGGAGCCACGTTGTCGGAGTTTGTGTGAATGCAGCTAAAGCCATGCTTGATCCTGCTCGCTGTGTCTGCTCTGTGTTTTTTTTGTAGCTCAGCCCCCCCACCTTTGGTCAAACAGACACACAAACCTGCAGCTCTTTATACATCCACGATACAGACAGAGCAGCGAGACAGACAGTGACGTAACCTGGTCGCTACGTTTTTCTAGACTCCGGGCTTTTATTTTATGAGAAATCACAGGAAGTCCTGGCTGCTATCAGTGCTAGCTTCACAGCGGAGTCTTCAGGCCCAGTCAAAACAATGGCTTATCCAGCGCCAGCCACGTGTGTGAAACATAGTGGCTGTGAATGGAAGGAGAGTAGACTGCTGAAAGTCAAATACATCGTATTTAAGTTTATGTTCTGCTTGTTCAACAGTTGTTTGATATATTACTATTAACACAAATTCAGAACGAATTTTAATTGCTATATCTATTTTCAGTTCTTATCATTTGGGCACTGGTGTTTTTCTTTTTGTGCTGTTAAATCGCTTTGGGGGATGCCAACAATTCCATTTTGTAGGAAAATCCAGTCTTCACCAAGTTTTTTACTGGCCGAACTCTAAGTATACCGTAACCATAATTTATTTTCAATATTTTTTTAATAACCACAGTCTTTAACTAGCCTTATCCTTGCTGACCATGTGCAGATATCTGGAATAAGGATTGGACAACAGGTTTTGCAGAATAGTCCAATAATGGT